TTTGAATTAAGCCCTTATTTACACCCAGTCTTTTTGGATGATCTCCCTGAGATGCACAGATGTGGGCTTATTTGGTCCCTGAGCTAGAAGTGATAGCATTTTCTCATAACATAAAAATACACCAAACCACCAAGGGACAAAAAGAGAGCAGAGCAAGAAAATAGAAGTAGGTACTTAGGTGAGACCTGTAGTCCAGACTAAGAGGAGATGTAAAGTAAGAGAGGGAGAACACTTTGCAGTCGCTTAGTAAAATCAGGTCAGAGCACAGAGCGGGAAAAGGATGAGAGCTTGGTCAACAAGCCGTGAAGAACCAGATGTTTGGCTGCTTTAAATCACAGCATTTTTGACCCAAGGTCTAGTGCATACCTGTTTGGAATTGCAGAGCAGGCAGCACCCTCTCTGCATGCTCTCTTTCTGGCTGTGATCAGAGCATGTGGTAATCACAGGGTAAAAAAAAAAAAGAAAAAAGAAACCTTTAAAAATAAACAACCCCCTCCAAACCCCAGCTCTCTTTCCTAGCCACCCCCACAAAACAACACCAGCAACAATAACAGAAAAGATTTCTAGAGGCCCCTTGGCTCTCTTACTATGGTACAGTTGAAGCCATCCAATCTAGAAACTCCAGTTAAGTGTAAAAAATGCCCCCAAAATGAGCTTTTAATCAGAAGAGCAATAATTGCACATGTCTTCTTGCTCTGACCACTGGTGTACATTTCAGTCTGATATGCAGCAAGTTTTCCACATTAAATTGTCTAAATAAGAGTCAGGTAGCCTCATCATCCATTTTTTATGTGGGGTCCTTTTAAAGCCCAGATTTCCTCCTGTACAGCCATTTCCTCATCTCCTTCAGCAGCACAGGGTCCCTTCTCCCAGGTAACTGATACATGGGAAAAGCTGGTCCCAACCCTGTCAACTTGCCACGCTCTCCATCCCCTTCTCCCGAGTGTGTATTTACCACCCCCTTTGGACTTTGTCCCAGTCTCCGCCTTCTTGATTGGTGCTAATTTGTGTTGGTTGTCGGACCTTGGTCATCCATCTAATTGTTTTTAATCGATTTGAGAATTTTGTTCTCAATATCTATGTCCCAGAGGGATTTACAAGGAAAGACTAAGGACATCAGATAGTTAGGTGAGCTGAAGAACAAATCAGGGTGGTCCGAGGGCTCAGAGGTGTCTGCAGTGTGCAAACATCATCATCAGGGATTGTGTCTTCCTGATGCCAAAAAGGACTAATTTCCCTGAAGTTGGTGGCCTGACTCCCTGAGATAAGTCAATGTGAAAATGGAAATCAAGGCCATAAACTGGGAAGAGGAATTGTTCAGGTTACAAGAGATTTTATGGGAGAATAAATGATGAAACTGTCATATGGAACTGTCATGGAGAGCTATGCCTGCAGAGGGGTCTGCCCCAAGGGGGCCGTAAGCCCTGTCATTTGAGTCACTTGAAATCATGTGAGGCAAAATCTCTAAGCATCTACTGTAAATACTGGCCATTCATTTTTTGTCAGGGACTAGGACAAGATGAGGCTCTCCCATCACTCCTTTCCAAGATGCTATTAAGCTAATGTGACCTGATCCAGCAGACTGTGGCAACAGCCTTCCAGGATGCCCATCAATGGGAAGCGTGTAGCTCCCCACTGTCGCCTCTCATTGCTGCTGCCTTGGAGAAGTGATTCAGATCTGCTGAGGGAACAAAATGTTATCATGACTGGATTTATGCCCGAGCTCTCTGACAGACCCTTGGGATAGAGATGACAACCACACATTTTTGTTTGAGAAGTGGGATGAGTCTGCTGAGGTGGTCAGGGTGTTTCTGACTGGGACAAGTGTAGCACATGTGCTGGGAGATCAGATGGAGTGGTTCACTTTGAGGCAGCGCAGCTGGAGCCATACACTGGCAATGAGAAATCTGATTTCATTTTTTCCCAGCCACCTGCTCAGGGAATACCACAGATTATTACTCTAAAGTTAGAGTGAAACTATGACTGCATTTCTATTTGCAGGTCTTCCTAATGTGTGGTCAGCTTCCTCGGATGACCTGTTCCTCTAGCAACACTTTGGCATGTTTAAGATACTCTTATGCCCAAAGCAATCCTGTATGTCTGAAGGATTGTGGAGTTTATGGTGCCCAAAAGATTTGCGTGCCCATCCTGGAATTTTCTGAGAAGATCAGAGTATAAAACAAATGCAATGTTTTATTGTAATTACATTTTTGCAATGTAATGCAAAAATAGCATCCTGAGGACCAGCATAGCCAGGGAACAAGTGGACTTTCTTACTTCGAAGATAGGTAGGGAGTTCAGAGGAAGGGAAAGATGCTACTATTAGATTAGATGGGATGAAAACCGGAAGACTGGGAGGTGTTGGGGTTTAACAGGATGCTGATACCAGAAACTGCCCCACCCTGTGCTAATTTGTTCTGGCTGCACCTCTGAATAAAATTATTAAATTGGTGAAAAACAAAGTAATAGTATTAAGTCTGTCTGGGATTTGACCAGCTGCATATGAATGGAGATGCTACACATATCCTGAAACCTAGATTTGCTGTTCAGTGGGAAATTGTGAAACTTCATAAATAAACAAGAAAGCCCAAGCAAATTGTTCTACTTCAAAACAAACCCTCCAAGTATTGAATCAGCTAGCAAAAAAAAAAAAAAAAGGAATCCTAAGGCTTTGATTTTTTTAATATGAAGTTGATGAAGTTTATTCAGCAGCTCTGCTTCTCACCTCTCTTTTGTTCAGCAGCTCTTGCTTCTCACCTCTCTCATCCAAAACAGGGCTTCCAGAGGACCTCAGAAGCATGAAGCAGAGCTTCTGGATTCTGGGCAAGAATCATGATGTGTAGGAACCCTGGCCATGGGGTTATCAGACAGACATGTGGAGTGGACAGAAAGTAAGCAATAACCCTGCTTGGTTTCTATTAAAAGACCAGTGAAATTCAAATACTCCATGTCCTGAGCAAGAAAAATTGCCATGTTCTGATCATCCCAGAATCCTCCTCTATGCTACACAAATATTCCCACAGGATAAGCTGTCCCAGTGCAGGTGCTGGCTTGCAGCCCTGTTCTACTTGTGGAAAGAGTCATGCCCACTTAGCTTTAGATGATAACAATGCCAGCATCTCTAGTAAATCTAATCATTGCATAGGTACAATTCACACCCTGGAAACTGCACTAATGCATGGACTTCATTTAACCTGGAAACCTTAGTTTGATCATTTCTTCTTTAAAGTGAGTCTAGGGTGCTTAATTCAGGTTTATGTGGCTGCAATGCAGCTACCTAAAGTTGCATGAGATGAACACCATAACTAATTCCTGTTGATTTTAATCAGCTAGGTGCTTAAACCCCTTTGTCGGAGAGACGTTTCGTCCTGTATCTGACTGGACTGTCCTTCAGATGACAGATAAGATGACATGGATGAAGAGGATACAGAGTAAAGATCCAAGCACGTGTGGGAAAAAGGTCTCCTGTAAGACCTATAGGAAGGAGGACAGAGTATATCTGACCTCTGCTGAATAGTTGTGGCCTGGAGAAATGAAATCTATATAGGATAGGATTTATCTTTTCCTGTGCAACAATCAGCTACTCCCCAGCTTACAGGTCTCCCAAACCCGAAGTACACAGAAAGCTGGTACCAGTCAGACAGCAAGAAAGCTATTGACTCACTGTGATCCACTATGTAACTAACAAATTGCAGCTAGAAGAAGGCTGAAGACTTGGCGGCTGAAGACTTGGCAGCTGCAGTCTGGCCAAAGGGATTTCTTAAGTAAACAACCTATTCAGAGTCATTAACCCACCTGCACTCCCACGTGCATAGGACAGCCTCCCCAGCAAGCCTTTGGGTCACAATTTGCTTTGCTTTTGGACTCTGCCATGAATGGCCACAAGTGACATGTCTGGGAGGAAGACCACATTTTAATGGCTTTGCTCAATAGCTTCCCCTGTCAGTGTGCAATATGTGCTGTGGCTGCAAGACAGAAGATGGCACAACCCTTTAAACAGTGCTTTCCATGAAAGTCAGTAGAGATATTAGTGGAAGCAGGATTGGACCTTGAATAAGCAGGGGGAAAAAAAGCACCATATGTTGGAAGGAGATGAATATTATGTAAATAATAAGGCATACAGACATTTTGTAAGTGGGCAGGCTGATCTCATTATTGATCTACAATTAAACCAAACTGTGGGGTCATAGCATCCTATTATGTCTAGCAGATTAAACTCAGGCTGTCTCTCTTCGTTATTGTTTCTGATGGAGTTTTAGAGCTTTCTTAATTCAGGTCAAAAAATGAGAGGCTTCCTCATAAGCATTTTAATTAACCAGCTGCAGAATTCTGTTGCCCCTAGAGACTCATGACACTGCTACCCCTCTCAGACTGTGATATTTCAGCTCAAATTGTGTTTGTGCCCCTTTATTCAAATTAAAAATGCATACAGAAAATCAAACCCACCCCCCTCCCTCATTGACTACTTGGAGAAAAAGAAATATCTTGAAAGTTTGTTGACCTAAACATATTCTTTGCACCCCCCCAACACATGAGGACCAGAATGTATGAGGAAAACAACGTAAACTTGTGGAGGAAAGCCCTTTTGGCTGGATCTTAGGGCAATGCACCCATCATTGCAGGCGTCTTGCCTGCCCCAAGCCACCAGTGCAATAGAGTTATCCAGCGTTGTCTCAGGGCTGAATAAAACCCCAGTCCTTTTGCAGGGTTGTTCCGTGCACCATCCTTGCAGGGAGAGGCTCTCAGTTGAGTGGCTGGATTTCTACAGAGCATGCTCCTCCTCAGATGATGGGGAGCTCCTTCCTAGTCCATGGTGGCTCTCACCCATGCTTGCTAGCCTGCGGCGAGTTGTGGTGGCACTCCTGCAGCAAGCTCACCTTGAACCACAGGCCACTCATGATCCTGGCAGGCTTGTTCAAGGAGACGAACTGTACACCTCCAGAATAGTCATGGGTGAGAAAAGCATGTCCTCAAAGTCCCCCACTCCTCTATATCCTCTTCTATGTGGAGCTGGCACAGATACTGCTCCTTTCTAAATTGTGGGGTAGCAGTGTGCTGTAAGGGGGTAGAACATTGACAAGCAAGTATGGTTTTGGGAAGGGCAGCAGCTCCAAGCGGTGGGGGATGAAGGAGAGTGTGCTGGGCAGCCAGGCAGTTGTCAGCTGCTCTTGCAGCGGTGAGTAGCATCCTACAGCAGGGATGGTAGCAGTGAGCTTTCTTGGCATCAAGCTAGGAGCCTTTCAAGAATAAAATGAAGTCTCAGATGAATCAATACAGACTTTTAGTTAGATACAATTTACAACCAACCTTATTTGTTTCCCTAGTGCTCAGTAATTAAGGAGGAAAGTTTAGAATAGACTCCCTAAAACCCAGTGATGTGCTGTCATGCAGGGAGCAAGGTGAAGTGCCATGGAAAAACTCCTGACAGGGAAGAGCCTGTGTGCCAGCCTAGATAATATTAACTGTCCTAGACTTAGCAAGGACATGGATCAAGGGCAAAAATCTCTGGTCAGCCTAACAAAGCTGGACATTGTAAAGAGATACTGACTGTCTATAAAAAAGCACGGCTTTATGGTTGCACATGTCATATTTCTTCCTGTTCAGGAAATTTCTGGTGGTAAAGGTATTTTGATCCAAAATATGATTTACAGTAAAAAGAGGAAGAATAATTCTGCAACAGACATGTCACATTGTATTTACAAAACAGGTTTCATTTCATGAAGAATGGCATAATACTTATTCCTAAAAAATATGTTATTTGACCATATTTGCTGGGATTTTTCTTTATCATATTGCCATTTTTTTCTTTTCCAGTCCTCCTTCTCTGGCATAGTCCCATGTGAAGATGTGACCTAGTGAAGGATAGCTATCTCTCCCTCAGTGGTTTTATACAAAG